CGATCTTAAAGGGGTAGTTCACCAAAAATGATACTTATGTCATTGTTCCAAACCCGTAAGGCCTTTGTTCATCTTCAGAACACAAATTAAAGGGTTAGTTCACCCAAAAATGAAAATTAGGCTGTGTTTTACTCACCCCCTATGCATCCTAGGTGTATATGACTTTCTTCTTTCAGACGAATCCAGTCGGAGTTATATTAAAAATTGTCTTTGATCTTTCAAGCTCTATCGTTGCACTCAGCAGGTGTTGCATTGAATCTAGCTTGCGCTCACTTACGTATGAGGTCAGCATTGCGCATGCGCCGCTCAGAAGTGACGCTCGCGGAGAGATCGAAACAAAACAACGGTCACTAATTAGAAGCACAAAACGAGGATTTGTAAAGAAGAATGTTGGAGGATTTCGATATAAGCCGAGAGGAGGCTGGTTTTCCTTTGCTAAAGTAAGGAAACTTTGCTTCCTTTGCTCCTGTTAACAAACGTTGGTTTTCACGAGACTCACCGGCGCATGCTCAACGCTGACCTCATACGTCATCCTCCCGGAGCTGCTTCTGTTTACAACTGCTGGCGCAAGCTAGATTAAAGTGATTGTTACGTTTTGAATATAGATATTTTTCTTACAAAAACACATCGATTCGCTACAGGAGGCCTTTATTCATCCCCCCAGAGCCGTGTGAGACACTTTTTTTTTAAAGCATGGGTGCTTTTTATTTCACGTCTTTTGGACAGAAGCAATGCAACACCCGCTGAGTGCAACGATAGAGCTTGAAAGATCAAAGACCATTTTTTTATATAACTCCGACTGGATTCGTCTGAAAGAAGAAAGTCATATACACCTACACTCTTAAAAATAAAGGTGCTTCACGATGCCATTGAAGAACCTTTTTGTCTAAATGGTTCCATAAAGAACCTTCAACATCTGAAGAACCTTTCTGTTTCACAAAAGGTTCTTTGTGGCGAAATAAGGTTCTTCAGATTACAAAAAGGTAAGAAAGAGATGGTTCTTTAAAGAACCTTTGACTGAATGGTTCTTTGTGGAACCAAAAATGGTTCTTCTATGGCATCGCTTGAAGAACCTTTTGAAGCACCTTTATTTTTAAGAGTGTAGGATGCATCGGGGGGTGAGTAAAACGCAGTCTAATTTTCATTTTTGGGTGAACTAACCCTTTAAGATATTTTTGATGAAATCTGAGAGCTTTCTGACCCTAGACAGCAACGCAAAACTGAAATGTTCCCAGGTCTAGAAACGTAGTAAGAATGTCGGTAAAACAGTCCATGTGACATCAGTTGCTGTTTGTGCGCAAAGAAAACTAAAATAACAATTTATTTAACAATTATTCTCCCAGAGATACCGTCTTCCACCATTTTGGAGAGTACCAGGACGCAATTATTCTACATTAACTGAAATAATAATGAATAATCGCGAATCGTTTTATTCAGATCGGGACTTCAAATCGCGTGTCGCAAATCAGTTGATTTAGGTTGGGACTTCGGAGCAGATTCGCGAATCATTTGATTCAGATTGGAATTTCGGAGCTGGTTCGCCAATCATTTCGTTAATTGATTGATTGCGATCCGCACTCCAAAGTCATGATCTGAAACATTGGTTCGCGAATCATTATTCAGATAGGACCTCTAGGATCACAAATCATTTAATTTAAAATCGGAACTCGGAGCAGGTTCGCAAATCTTTTGATTCAGATCGAAACTCCGAGTGTGGAACGAAAATCATTTAATTCAGATCTTCTGAACAGATTCGCGAATCTTTGTCAGATCGAAACTTGAGGGTGCGGAACGCGAATCATTCAGGACTTCAGAGCGGGTTCGCGATTCATTTCGCGAATTCAGATGGGACTTCAGAGCGAGGATCGCGAATCGTTTAAATTAGATCGGAATTTCGGAGCGGGCTCGCAAATCTTTTGATTCAGATTGGGACTTTGGCGCTCGTATCGCAAATCTTTTTTCTGACTTCTTTTTTTATTAAACAGTATAAAAAATATCAAACTAGACAGTACAGAACAAAAACAAACCAAATAAAAAATAAAAGAAAGTACACACAAATACAAACCTCTTAAGAAAATGAACCATGGTTTTACTATAGTATATTATCTTCTTCCTAAACAGGCTTCACTTGAGCGATTGACAAACGTTTTGCGAAACGGTTCGATCGAATCATTCTGAGGAATCGGTTCAAAAGATAGATTCGTTCGCTCACTGGGCAAACACTCCTGGATACAATGGAGTAGCCCGACTATGAATGACTCTCATGAGTTCAACAGTGGACATTTGTGTTTGTGGTCTCTAAAGGGTCTCAGTGTCCATCTGAGAGAGCACATTGCTCAAGAAGTGACTGTTTTCAGTGTCTGAATAGAGCAGCTGTTCTATTCTATTCACTTTGAATTCAGTGATAGCAAATCAAATCACTGAATCACTTTGGAAAGTCATACCAAATCAGTTAATAATGTTTGGCATGGCAAATAATGACTATTGGGTGGTGCTTTGGGTTTTAAAAAGACTTTCTTCAGCAATTTATTTCATTTTCACGCCCTGAGGAGCCTGATTCTTGTGTGGTTACTGTACTGATATCAGCAGCTTTTCATGATCATGTGATTGTTGCTCCTTTAATCATGAAGAGCTGATCCCAGATCAGCATATAAACCATAAACATAATCATCATGAGTAAAACCGCATCTGTTTGATCTCAGATCAGCAGAACTTTGGCTTTGCTGACTTTTATAATCATGTTCATAAAATAAAAGCATTATGGACCCACCTAAATGAGTCACGTCTAGGCAGGAGTGAGTTCTCTGAAAATCCCCTTACTGATGAATCGATTAGATCACAGCTGAAGGAGCGACTTTCATCTAGTGAATGTGATTCCTCTCTCTTTTACTGCTCATGTCACCAGCACCTGTTCCACAGAAATCTGACTCCTCTCCTGTTCCTCTGGTGGGAATTTAACTCCTCAATTCTGTTCAACCTGGAAATGAACTCTGAACAATGTCCAAACATAAAGAGCATTCACACAAGACAAATATTAGTTCATAGATAACAACATCAAACAAACATCCGGTTGTAAATCATAAAAAGAACATTAAAGTATAGGAGCTTCTGAACTTCTGCAGGTTTCAGGAAGTTTAGGACTGATTCTAAAAAATTTTTTTTTTAAATCCATTAGCATTTAATTAATAATTTTACACTTATTCAAATAATATTGTTCTCAAAACTATAAATAATGTGAAATGTTAATATACATTAATAATTGCAACATATTTTCACATTCATATTTTCTGTTTGTTAATTCAGTTGATTTATAAGTAGAATAATTTAAAAGAATATTTGTTCTCAAATCAGACATTACCAAAAAAAAAGTAATATAGTATTTTAATTGTCAATTGTTGAGCTTAGCAAACGTGTCCACTATGAGTTAGTGTTATTATTACAGTTTTTGTTAATATTTTGCATTTCAATTTTATTTTTATATTTTTTGTTAATATTTTGCATTAATTTGTATTTTTTATATTTTCTGTTTTTACTTTTTAGTTAATTGAACTAGAATTTTTGTTAAAATTTCAATAATTTAGTTGTTTTTGTAATTTTCATTAGTTTTTAAATGTCTATATAGTTTTTATTCATTTTTATTTATTAGTTTCAATTTATTTCGTTTTGGTTATTTTAGTACTAAAAATGAAAATGAGAAATGTTGCCTTAGCATCTAGTAGAAATAAAATTAGCTTAGGTTTTTATATATTTTATTTGATTTCAGTTAACGTTTATTTCAAGTGACTTTTCTTATTTATTTTATTTGTTATTATAATTTTTTTTTGTATGCTTTAGTTTTCGATAACTATAATAACCCTGCTATTATAGATCAGTCATCTATAAAAGACCTGCATAAAGAAAAAAATCAGGGGAAAAAAGTGTTTTATGGAACAAATACAGCATGCAGATGTGAAATTACATGAGGGTGAGTAAATCGAAATATTATTTTTGTGCAATCCATATTTTTAAATTTCTGTTATCTCTCATTCACTTAAAAAAGACTAACAAATGTATACAAATAGAGAGGCATAAAATAAGAGTGTTATATCTGTATATCACTGCTCTTTAGGTCAGCGTTCGTCAGATGAATGATCACAGCTGCCCATAATTCCTCAACACACTGAGAGGTTCAGACGGGATTAAACGCCACGACTCCTGATCTCTGGAGATGGAGATTACAAACCATAATCTCACTCCACAGATGGACTTCACAGCCTTCAGCGGCTCTCAGCGAAGCGAAACATGTCGCTGCTCTCCTGAGACCTCGATACGAGAAAATAACACTAGAGTGTTATAACAAAACACTGCAACTGCAACAGACTGAATCAAGAGTCTCTTTTTTCACATATTTTTGTGCAACTAAAAACATTTGGCCATAATATAAATGCTCACGATACATGCCATGCATAGCAAACTTTCATACTGCTTACTAGTATGTATACTGTGCACAGTGTGCTATTTTTCTGTACAACCAGCTTCATTTGACAAAATATGCAATGTGCAACCAGAGCAAACTAAATATTATGCAATATACCACAATGCAATGTGCTCAGTGCCATTTTTATCATTTGTTTTTGACTCCTTATTTGATCACACTGCCAAAAGTGCAGACATTTTTACACATAAATAATTTAATAGTAAAATATTAATATATTTCTATTATATGTATAACTAATACTTTTTAAATTATTTTTATTCTTCTGATAAATAGTTGGAGTCATGTGGAAGTTTGTCTTTTGCATATTGTTTCACATACATATATATATATATATAGTAGGCAGAATTTAGTATATACTATGCAATAATTAGTGTACTAGTCGATCTGTATGATGAGAAAGAGAACACTCTGCTGCCCTCTAGTGGTGGATCAAAGAAAGACTACAAAGTTGAATCCAACAGAATTTTATGAATATATACAATAGATACACACATTTAATCTAAAATGATCATCTAAACGCCAGTCTTCAAAATGACATTTATAAACAAACGCAGAAGTGAAATGTTTCAATATAAAACCATTATGGCCATTAAAATGGATTTTGCATAGATAAATATAGATATAATACATGATAAACTATTTACAAAAGTTCTTGATATGAAACATATGAATGCAGACAGTAACTCAGTCATATTCATTCATAGTCATATGGTATTGAAAACTTACTCTTCAATGAGCCTTATTGTTCCTTTACTGAAAAGTTATGCATCCTAGACTACTATTATTATAAGAAGAAAAGTAGTGTTGGAGAGTAAAGTGCATTCTCATATTTCTAAAATGCCACCAGGTGTTCATTATTCATTTATGACCATGTAATCAAACAATTATCCCTTTAAAAATTCACAAATTCATACAAATGTGTTTTCACATGTATAAAATACATGTACTTCATAAAGCGAGTGCAAAGTGAAGCTAACCGGCCTGTAACGCAGTTAAAACATCTTAAAACAAGACTTTGTGCACTAATAAACATGTACACTGGCACGTTTCATCTCCATTAGTTTGCTGTTTTTGGACTTGAACTCATTAAATAACAGTCCAGAGGAAATCCTTCATCATAAATCATATTCAGACATGAACGAAATACATAAATAGTGATATAACACTGAAGAATTCATAATAAATGTAGTGTAGAAGTGTCCTTGCCTTCCATATTTACATTTCATATTCATGTAACAAGCAAATTAACGCTCAAATGATATATGAATGTGAGAATTTGCATGATTTGGCTGTAAATGCATGCTATGCATCTATGCATTTATGGTCATGCATGGTCTCTTATTTTTGAAGATATGCTTCACTTGTCTATAAATGTTTATATCTGATTGAGAAATTGTGTTTTGTAAGGCTGAACCGGATCACACGTTCTGGCTGGTTTCTACTCAACCTTCCAGATGGCGATTTTGCCGTCGGCCCGCGCGGCTCCGCTGAGAACGTAGCGATCTTCAGCCGAGCACAGAGTCTGAACGCTGTCGTCGTGTGCCATCAGCTCCTTCTCCACCGTGTATCGATCCGTGTCCACCACGTAGATCTTCCCGCGGGTCTTCCCCTGGCAGCCCACCCAGATCTGAGACCAGGAGAGATTTGAATTGCATTCGGTATCTTCTAATTACATTTTGACAGATGAGCGTGAGAGGTGTCTCACCTGGTTCTTGACTTTGATCATGCAGACGACACCAGCGCAGTCTTTGAGCTGGATCCTGATGAAGGGTTTGTTCAGTTCTCTGCAGGGCCACACACACAGCTCACCTGCGTCTGCAAAACCCGCCCACAGCTGCTCCGACTGCAATCACATTCCCATCACAAGTCAATTAAGAAGACTCACTTTTTCATATTAAAATGCATAATACTTTATATAAGTATTATCTTAAAAGGGAGATTATGGCTGCTGTCTGGTGGAAAACAGATGAAAAAAATCACAAACATTTACGTGGAGCATTAAGGAACTAGGACTGCTCAATTATTGCAAAAAAAAAATCACAATTATTATAATTAATAATGAGATCAGAATGACTGTATTTAACATGATTACTTGTTGATTCATTTATTTAATAAAAAAAAAAACTAAAAAAAAGTCCTTTTGACAATGGATTTCCTTTCACTTCCAAACTAAAAAAACACACACACACACACACACATATGTATGTATATATATATATATATATATATACATTCATCAAAAAAAAATCTTGAAAAATAAAATGTATCACAGTTTCCACAAAAATATTCGAAACGATCAAAGCCGGTCTCATCAGAGAGGCCAGAGACCCATTAAAACAGCCTCACACGTGTGATCCATTAACTGCTCACTCGCTGCGCTAATGAGTGCTGAAGCCCAGCTGGATGGACACGCAGAGCACCGGACGAGCTCACGGCCTCCTTCAGAATCTGTGATTTTTACCTCGTTAAAGAGCAGGAAACTGCTGAAGCCCCTCGGTGAACTCAGCAGGTGATCTGGAAGAGACACCTTACGATGAACCGTGCCGTTCCTGCGCACTTCCAGCAGACAATCACGACCACCTTTAATACAAAAAAATCAGTTACGCACTCAAATTATTTTATTTAACCAAACGGAAATTAAAGTTTTAATTTTTTTCTGAAACCGAAAATACAGGCTGCGTCCGAAAGCCTAGGCAGCTGGCTTGCTGCCTCGCTGCCTTATGAGGCAATGACTGCAGGCAGCGTTTTTGCACGAAGGCACCTCATGAAACTGATTTCGGACAGGCTTCTGAGGCAGTGTAACGGTTTAATGATCTACAACAAAATAGAACAAGTTTTGATGATAACTAAATTAATATTTAATTATTATAATACTGATTTCTCGCTAGAAATAACATCAAAAGTGCAAAAAGTTAGTCAGAAACATACATTTAAACAGAAACTGACCACCAAACGCAACTTTCAGACACCATTTTTATTTTTTATCTCAACCGTCACGGAATGGAACGCACAGGATTGTGGGATATCAAAGGCAGCGAAGGATACATCTATGCTGCCTTCAAAATTCGATCAGAAGAAGGTACCTCCAGAGACAGGAAGTGAAGCAGAATTTGGATTCGGACGTACCTTGATACCTTCCTGCCTTGGAATGCTGCCTCCGAAGGCAGCATTTTAGAGCTTTCGGATGCAGCCACAGTTTATAAAAGAGTTGCATATAAACATTTGAGTTGCACAGATAGGTCTTAAACTTTTTAATGATATTATTATGTTTCTACTCCAATTCATTGTTGAAATATAAACATTTAAACAGTAGCTGTAACAAACATACATTAGATAGTCAAGATAACAGTTTTAACCCAAAATTTGAGTTATAATATAATAGAAACGTGCATTGGTTGCAGTATGTGAGGCAGACTTACAGCACCACAGCATGCCGTTATGGATCTGGATGCACTGCAGTCTGTTACAGGAGACTCTGAACTGCCGTCTGACCTGCAGCGTCGTAACGTCCCACACGATCACACTGCCATCTTCACTGCACGAGTACGCCACCGTCTGACTGCAGGCAACAAATTCAATTAACATCAATGTCTGGGTTTGGAGAAATTTAGCGTTGTGTCATTTGCTCACGCAGTGAATGGGTGCCGTCAGAATGAGAATCCAAACAGCTCTCTTTAATTAGTTTTAACTTTAAACTGTTGCTAAAATACAAGTCCTCTATCCATATGCATCTGCTCCAAAACACAATTTTCCTCTTCTTCAGATCAAGCTCTGTTTACAAGCAAAAACAGTCCAAAACAGCTCTAAATATATATGTTGGTGGATTTTGATGAAAGAGACAACAGGAGATGGACTTTTTCACTGGGGGAAGCGTTATTATTATGGATTCATATTTTGGACAGATGCGACGTTTTAAAGTTAAAAACATCTTAAAGGGGTCATAGGATGCTGCATGCACTTTTACAAGTAGTTTGAACTGAAATGTGTGTTGGCAGTGTGTGTTTTTTTTTAAATCTGGTTAAATGATTTCCCCTTTCTCAAATCGAGCCGATCTCGTTTAATATTTTGTGTGATCAGTCCGCCATTGTTTCACCACTGGAGCAGATGTAGACAAGAATGACTCCTACGCGATTGAGGTGTTCTGTTGTTGGCTGTAATAATGAACATAGCAGTCGTCATGGCTTAATCTGAAAAGAGCTGTTTTTGACGGTAAAAAAAAAGGTGTTTTTTACACTACCATTGAGAAATTTTAACCAAACTATGTTACAGAGTTTACATTAAGACCCTAAAGAATCATATCAAAGTGTGGAAAATGGGCATCATATGACCCCTTTAAAGATGGATTTGTTTCTTAGAAACGCACAGCTTTTCACTTCTCAGGACATTAACTGATGGATTGGAGTGGTGTGGATTACTTGTGGATTATTGTGATGTTTTTATCAGCTGTTTGGACTCTCATTCTGACGGCACCCATTCACTGAAGATGGAATACTACATTTCTACAAATCTGCTCCCATTAAGAAACAAGTTCATCTACATCATAGATGGCCAGAAGGAGTAATTGTTTAGGTGAACTATTCCTTTAATGACTGTCCTGTTTTGTCTCTGTTACCTGAATTTATCAGTTCTCTCCTCCAGGGCGAGTCCGGTGACCTCGCCACGGTGCTCTGTCAGTTGTTTATTGCAGGAAACGCTCCTCGGGTTTATGATGTAAATGAACGAATCCGTTGAGCCGATCCACAGCTGCTGCTGGTTCACTGCCAGCATGCAATTCTGAGAGGAGTGAAATGAAACGTGTGTTCATACAGTGAACAGCAGGGGGCAGCACTACCATGAAAACTATAAAGTGCACTAATATTTTCCATGACTACAGGCATCCCAGTAATGTGGTGTAGTCAAACAAAATGCAAAAATTCATAGTCATATATCTGGGATGCAGGGTAATGGAGCAACGTTTTGTTTACGTGCACAAGCATTTTTTTTTTATTATTATTGCTGTAATGTGGGGAAAATGTGCTGAATTGTCACAAAATAAAACTTCTTAATGCTTTTAGATAAAGCAAGTTGATTACAGCCTACAGTTATACTAATAAACTATATTAGTTGTTTTCTTCTAATTATTTAACTTTTTTTTAATTAAGCTTTGTCCTTTCTGTTTCTGTCTAATTTCCTCCTGAAACTCCTAAACAGCCTCTCATGTCTGATAAGGAGGTGATAAGTGTGAGGCAAGGAAACACAGAGTATGTCATCACTGAAGGTCATTTTTTATATCTAGAGAGGTTTCCACACCAGACGGGACTTTCCCACTTGAACAGAGTTGTGCTGCATGGACCAGCTGGCCGCGTCGAACACCAGCACCTTCCCATCGCTCAAAGCGCACCACAGCTTTGGGTTTCCTCCGCCGTCCAACTCCGAAGCGCCCAGCTGACCTAAAACACACACACACACACACACACACACACACAGTGCTTACCGGACGAGTCTCTGGCTTTCATAACAGTTCAGTTTCCTTCTGAACGGTGGTAAAATCCTCCCTGCTGTGTCTCAGACCCCTCACCACAAAACATACACAATCTGAGGGAGGATGTGTTTCTACATACACTGAGTGAGATCTACATCTGTGCTAAACGTCTGTCCTGTGACGCATAAGATGAATATCACAAAAACACGACAAGATCTTTTGTTCTCCTGTTCTCTCTCTCAGATGAGCTGCTGTTTATTCCCTTCATGTTTATTTATTTATTTTTTGTACTTTTTATTAGTAGTAGCAGTATTTATTTTTTATTACTATTTAATCTATTTGTTATATTGTATATTATTTACTGATAAAAACAAATGAAAATTTGAAAATGACGATTATATTTCACAGAAAAATTAATTAAATAAAACAAATAATATAGAATAAAAATGTAAAAAATTAAACAGATGTATCTGTCTATATCTCTCTCTCTCTCTCTATATATATATATATATATACATAATTAAAAATAAATTATGTAAATAATATAAATTATATATCTATATACACAACTATATCTATATAATAAAATTATATATAAACATGTAATATAATAAAAAATCTGCTTTGTATAAATAAAATTAAGTGTATTTTTAGGATCAATACTATTTTGGTATTGTAGCATTATTCTCATAACTAAAAATTCTTATTAATGTAATAGAATGTTTTTATTTTTCATTTAAATGAGCCTGAATTAAAGGCAGTACAACACGGGACTTTCCCACTTGAACAGAGTTGTGCTGCATGGACCAGCTGGCCGCGTCGAACACCAGCACCTTCCCATCGCTCAAAGCGCACCACAGCTTTGGGTTTCCTCCGCCGTCCAACTCCGAAACGCCCAGCTGACCTAAAACACACACACACACACACACACACACACACAGTGCTTACCGGACGAGTCTCTGGCTTTCATAACAGTTCAGTTTCCTTCTGAACGGTGGTAAAATCCTCCCTGCTGTGTCACAGACCCCTCACCACAAAACATACACAATCTGAGGGAGGATGTGTTTCTACATACACTGAGTGAGATCTACATCTGTGCTAAACGTCTGTCCTGTGACGCATAAGATGAATATCACAAAAACACGACAAGATCTTTTGTTCTCCTGTTCTCTCTCTCAGATGAGCTGCTGTTTATTCCCTTCATGTTTATTTATTTATTTTTTGTACTTTTTATTAGTAGTAGCAGTATTTATTTTTTATTACTATTTAATCTATTTGTTATATTGTATATTATTTACTGATAAAAACAAATGAAAATTAATTTAAAAAAAAAATGACGATTATATTTCACAGAAAAATTTTAATTAAATAAAAAAAATAACATAGAATAAAAATGTAAAAAATGAAACAGATGTATCTGTCTATATCTCTCTCTCTCTATATATATATACATAATTAAAAAGAAATTATGTAAATAATATAAATTATATATCTATATACACAACTATATCTATATAATAAAATTATATATAAACATGTAATATAATAAAAAATCTGCTTTGTATAAATAAAATTAAGTGTATTTTTAGGATCAATACTATTTTGGTATTGTAGCATTATTCTCATAACTAAAAATTCTTATTAATGTAATAGAATGTTTTTATTTTTCATTTAAATGAGCCTGAATTAAAGGCAGTACAACATTATGTATAAATGCTTCACAAAATGAACAATATATCTTTTTATGTATTACAGTAATGACAATTTTGGGGGAAAATATGCATAATTGTCATCACGTACAAAATCTTAATACTCCTAAAAACAAGCTTTCTTTATGCAAGATATAACGTCTTATTTCTTTCTTGTGATTTTGTGGTGGAATATGACCTGTAAGTGTTTATGGCAGGTTTTATGAGATCTTTTACAGTTTGTCACTCACTCCTCAAGCATGTAAAGAAAGCGTGTGACTTTTGCCATTATGTTCAGCTGGACCAACAGGAGCAGGACAGTGTTTTTACGTTACGCAACAGAAATACTAAAGTATTGTGATTCTTATCAAAGTCATATGACCATTGATCTACAGCTGATAGCAGTGAAACATAACAAATCAAAAACACATAGATAGGACACAGATTATGTCATAGTCCTGTCTTGGAAGAAATTTGCTTGGTTTTAAAGTGCATTCATCAGAATGAATAAATATATATTTATTGGTCTTAATCTAAATATACTGTATATATAATAACCATACTAATAAAAGCATCTCAAATGCAACTTTGAAAAACTAAATAAATATAAACAAGAAAAAGCAAGAAAATATATCTTCAGATGCGTTTAAAAAGGTGAATTTCCAGAGTTTGTTTCATTTGAACCAGTGAAAGATTCCAGATGTTTATGGCATGAACAGCTGTTTTTGATCTCTTGTGGTTCTGAATGTATTTTGAAATCACACTCAAATAACCCCATAACCAGACCTGGAGTCATGCTTGTGTAGCTTTGTTACGCCTTTAACAAACATAGTAAAGAATTAAGTGCTTCAGATTAGGGTTGTGACGGTGAGAAAATTTTCCCACTGGTTAATCGACGTGTGACAACACCGGTAATACCGGTATCACCGTGGGGGCGGGGGCGGGGACATTCCTTCTTTTCCTTCGCTTTTAAATAGCTTAAAAGCACCGTGCGCATTTTACTTTCACTTTCAAATAGCGGCAATTCGGCGTAAAGCAATTGTTCGTTTGAATTTTCCCTCTTTTCCTTCGCTCTTAAATAGCTTAAAAGCACCGTGCGCAATTTACTTTCACTTTCGAATTAGTGGCAATTCAGCATCAATTGCTTGACTGCAACAACAAAATACAACGTCAAACTCACTTTAGCCTATATATAAAACATAGAACTTTTATTAACAAAACGAATAAAAATACACAATGCTATAGGGCAGGCTATGCCTAATATAAAATAACAAATAACTTACATAAAGTTTAAATAGGTATACAAAACTGGAAATAGGCGAAGTAAACATGTATAATATACAAATAAATAAGAAATGTAGAACGTTTATTAGCAAAACGAGTAAGAAAGCTTGGAGGCACGGCATACACCTTGATGTCAAATAAAATAAATAAATGACACAAAGTTTAAATAAAGTAAAAATCAGCAAACAATGTGGAACCAATTAAATAAGAAACGAATGTTTAAAAAAAACTTCCAAAATCACCTTAGATAAACAGCAAGTCAACAGGCTTTTCAAAATCCAAAATATTGCCAAACAGGCGCTTTTGCATCTCGTTTCGAAACTAAATCATCCGCGATCGTCTTGTCCGTCTCGCCTCACTCTTCTTGTCCGTCTCGCCTCACTCTTCTTGTCTGTCTCGCCTCACTCTTCTTGTTAGTCAGCTCGACTCACTGGAGAAATCTGATCTGAGATGCGACTGTCGTTCGGCACGCTGCATTGAGCAGCCACGTTCAGCTTTTAATTGTAGTGTCTGTTCTTTTACTGAACTAAATGATTTTTATTACTATAAAAAATCCAAACGACGGTGGGGGTCGGTGCCGCGGTGGTTAAGTGACGTAACCGGTGTTGTTAGCACAGTCTATCGCCGCAAGCCTACTTCAGATCCTTCAGATCCCTGAACAAAGGTTTGTGCTTCACCCAGTTTTCACATTAATCACTTTAATCATGAGTCTCTGTCGCGGATGAGTCCAGTGAGGGGAAATATGTTGTAATCAAACACGGGAAGGAAATAAGTCAGCATGGAAACTCTGCCCTGGGCAGTTTCTACAAAACTGATTTGTAAGCCTGTTCTTCTCTAAGCTTGCAGGATCGCACAGAAACACTTGAACAGATAACAGAAGTAACACACTAGCCGTCTGCACAACACCAGTGACAGGTTTGTGGAAATACCAGGTCAAACTGCTTGATCTGGGTGAGAGAAAATTGAAAGTGAAAGCCACTTTGATATTAAACAGATATCCGTTTGGCTTTGCTCTTTGTCTTTTTTAGACAAATGAATACTGCACACTGTGTGTCATTCTTTATTCTGCTAAACACAAAAGACGCTCAGCAGACCTACCAGGCGTGTAGAGCAGGACGTCCACGGCCTGAGGTGACGTCTGGTCCAGAGACGGATTGATCTTGTGTTTCAGGGTCTCAGATGTTGTTTTAGGGACCATCATGGGGACTGTAATAAACCCAGAGACAAATACAGTCACTAAATCCTAAAATGGTAATTTATCACACTCTGTTGGTGACGTATACAATGCCGTCTTTGTAGATTGCTGTTTTTAGGTCCAACTAATGCCTTCAGACTGCTCATTTATAGCAAACAATCTCAATATTGAGATCACAATAATTACAAATGTACACATTACATAATTGGACATTTTCTTTGAAACCATCATGCATTTATTGAACTAAAAATAAAACTCTTTTTAACAGTGCATTTTACTTTAAATAAAATTGAAATGCATACATACACACTTTTTTTTTACAGAGTAAAATAAACATTATAAAAATAAAAATAAATGATATAAAAATAAGAAAATACTTTAGATAAACTCTATATATAATTACATACATTAATCATGATTAATTACAAAAAGTGTAATTAATTAAATTTTTTAATCAATCAATCTATATATATATATATATGTGTGTGTGTGTGTGTGCGTGTTTGTGTGATTTATTAAAGTGTGTGTGAATTTAAATAAATAATATACAAATAATAAATACAAATAAATTAGATAACTATGTTATAGTGCACTTCCACAACCTACTAAAAAAAACTACTAAATATTGTGGGTGTTGGATTTATAACAAGACAAAATGAGAGCATCACTGTGAAAACAATTCGTTTAATGTTGATTGTCTTGTTTTCATAGCCACTGAAAACCAAAATCATAATCAGATATTAAGACAATCGACATAAAACTAATTATGTTTTCATAGTCACTGGAAGCCAAAATCATAACCAGATATAATCACCCAACCAACTTCAGACAGCAACATCAAACACCAGTTTATTTCTGTATGCACGTGATGCACGTTCAGCCATAACACACTAGAAAGCCACAGTAAGAAATCTGTGATTGGGCTTCTCAAAACAGCACTTATTGAGTGATACACACCCTCAAGCTTCTTCTTGTCGAAGTAGGCCAGTTTGGTAGCAGCGAAGATGGCTTTCTGTGACTGCAGGCAGCCGACCACAGCATCCATCAGCAGAGCGTTAGTCAAGGCCTGCTCCATGAACTGAGGGTCCTGTAGACACAGATCACAGCACACACTCACACGGCCGTCTACAGCACAGGAGAGACACTCCTGACCCTCAGGACACAAAAGCAAAACCCAACACTACTGTTCTGAACTCTGACACCTCTCATCGAAACCTGCATTCAGTCTGCTATCTACTCTAAACTACCACACTGTGTTGTTCTGTTACACTATGGCCTGGCTTCACAGACAGGGCTTAGACGAAGCTAGGATTAGGCCATAGTTCTATTAGGACATTTAAGTATCGTTTATAAACGTGCCTGACATGCTTTAAAATCAGTCAGTGCATGTTTCTTTCAGTTAAAACAGCTCATGTCATGCATTTAAGTCTGGGACTAGACTTAAGCCTTGTCTGTGAAACCGGGGGGTTTTCAGTGTCTGAAATCGATCCACGTCCATCTGAACCAGTTTTTCACATTCACATAATTTCCAACATTTTGGCAGAGAAAGTTTTCGACAGATTTGTAACAAGAAGCATTTATAAACCTGCCAATAAGCACAGACTTAAAAATCCCTCTGCAGTTTTCCACCAAAATAAAAACTTGAGGGTTTTTTAAACATTTGAAAATAAAGATTATAAAACGGAGAGTTCCGGTCCTTGATTCTGATTGGCTGAGCCACGTTCAAAGCCGTTGTAAATTACTCTACAAACACACACCTTTGTTTACATTTGTCTGTTGCAACCACAACTGCTTCTGAGGAACGACATTGTTTGGTGGAAGAGTACTGTTTTTATTAATATCATTACACTTTATTTGCTCGGTTTCATTTTGTGAAACCTTACTATGTATATGGAATAGCCGTTTTATAAAAGCAATAAGCCCCGTGAAGCTGTGGTTTACAGTGAATTTATAACAGCTAAGGGGGTTTTATATTATTTGCTTTATAATAGGCCTATAATTTATAGACCAAACTGTGCAGTCCTACTGTAAATAAATAAAAAACAATCAATAACACTTACTAAAAAAGATTTAATATTATATTTGTTTGCTTGCATGTCAAACTATTTTCTTAGTTAATATTTCAGTTAATGTCAGAGTGGTTATAACGCCCCTTAGCTGTTATAAATTCACTGTAAACCACAGCTTCACGGGGCTTATTGCTTTAATTTAAGTCTTCTTATTATTATTAATAATTCCATTTATTCCAAAAATGTAAGATATATCATTACCGTAACTTAGTGTAAAATAAAATAATGAATATACTTATCAAGTATGCATTTATTTATTCCAAGAATTTAAGACATGTTAGTACTGTCTAAAGTGTTAAATAAAATTATTATTAATATTCTTATCAAATATTTATTTCAAGACTTAAAATAAAAGTAAAATAATATAGCAATTTAGTTAAGTACACCTCCACAAAAGCCTACTAAAGGAAAAATACTAAAATATTATCTTGATTATTTTGTTTTCATAATCGGTTGTATCTGAAATAAATAAAATTAATTAATAATAAATAAATTTTTTTTATTAATTGTCCATCCCCATTTCAGACTAATGTACAAGAACTAAATAATGGGCGTTTAGCCAGAATAAACTAAAATAATAATTTTCTATTGTAAATTACTCTACAAACACACACCTTTGTTTACATTTGTCTGTTGCAACCACAACTGCTTCTGAGGAACTACATTGTTTGGTGGAAGAGTACTGTTTTTATTAATATCATTACACTTTATTTGCTCGGTTTCATTCTGTGAAACCTTACTATGTATATGGAATAGCCGTTTTATAAAAGCAATAAGCCCCGTGAAGCTGTGGTTTACAGTGAATTTATAACAGCTAAGGGGGTTTTATATTATTTGCTTTATAATAGGCCTATAATTTATAGACCAAACTGTGCAGTCCTACACTGTAAATAAATAAAAAACAATCAATAACACTTACTAAAAAAGATTTAATATTATATTTGTTTGCTTGCATGTCAAACTATTTTCTTAGTTAATATTTCAGTTAATGTCAGAGTGGTTCAGCTGATCTAGGAGATGAATTTGGCTAAATCAAAGACTGAAGCAGTCATCAAACCTTATGATCGTCCGCCATCTTCCTGCCGGCCCACATCTCTTTGATCATCAGGTGCCAAAGGTCACACTCCGACTTCAGATTGGCCTCGAACGTCTCCTTCCTGAGGGAGGTTTTGATCTTCAGCGCTGGGATCCTCAGCAGAAGGAAAGGAGCGGACGATATCTTCACGTCCTGGATGAGAGGAATAGTCTTTCATGATTACAGTTCAGCCGGAAACACTTAAAGGGGTCATATGATGCGATTTCAAGTTGTCCTTTCTCTTTGGAGTGTTACAAGCTGTTCGTGAATAGATAAGACCCTGAAGTTGCGAAGACTAAAGTCTAAAAACCAAAGAGATATTCTTTATAAAAAGTTAAGACTCTGCCACGCCCCCCTAAAACCGCTCGTTCTAACACGCCCCCACATAACTACCTCACTATGTGGTTTGAAATAAAGTTACATTGTCATTCAGTGGAACAGATAGACAGATCTATCTGTTCCACAGTTTAAAATTTAAACAACATGCTTATTCTGACCTGTACATATTAAAATATATAAAAGAATAAAGGAGCATATTAAATTTTATTGTGTTTTAAATTTAAGTAAAAAATTCTTACTGACAAATGGGCAAAACCTAGGATAGTGGCAAATTAAAAAACTAATTAGTATTTGGGGTGAAAGTAATTAGTTTTTTAATATGTCATAAATTGATTTTTGTTGTAAATATGCCTGACAAGATTGTTACACTAAATTATTGTCTTCTGTAAATCGGGGGAAAATGTATTATATTAATCAAAAACAATTTAAACAAAAATACAATTACATTAAACAAAAAACTTTTTAATTTACTTTTTTTTTTTTTTTTAAACATCAATTTAAAGCAGTATTGTTTTTATGCTTAAACCCTTTTTCGTCTTTGACCCATGTATTTATTTAATTTAATCTAATTATATATTTATTATATATTATATATATATATATTGTTTTTTTATTTAGTGTAATCTTATTTTATATTTATTATTTTTACAATTTTATACTGTTTTCTCTAAACATTAATTGACTTTGAATGATTAATTGATTATGTAATTTATTTATGTATTTATTTATATATTTTAATCTATTTTTATTTAGTTAGTTTCATCTTAGTTTTATTTATTTTTACAACGTTTTTTTCTCTAAACTTTTGACTGATTGATTGGCTGACCATTTAATTATACATTTATTTATATAATAAAATTTATTTTTTTATTTATTAGTTTAGTTTAATAATCTTAATTTTTATTATTTATTTATACATTTTTACACTACTTTTTTCTTTAAACTTTGATTTAATGGCTAGGACTGTGTAGTTTTAAAGAGTTGTCATTTACTCATCATTTGCTCTCTATTATGTTCCAAACCTGTATGACTTTCTTTTTCCATGGAACACAAATTCACGAATACAAAAACAGAGAAAGGGGACAAAAACACTAAATAAAATCAGTCACATGACTCATGCACTACACCGTCCAAACTGCGGTTCTTCTGAAGTCATATGATGCTTTGTGTGAGGAACAGACTCAAATTAAATCATTGTATGCTAATGATATATTCAAATATGATGTGGACTTTACACAAAAGAAGGAGCGTCATGTAGTTTGAGAACATGAGCATGAGTAAATGATGAGTGAATTATTGCAGATCTTGTGACATCTGAGATAAAGGTGCTTTCTTTACTTTATGGCTCCAAGCAATAAAGCGTTATGGTAAATTCCAGTGAGATATACTGTATATATAAACAGCACACAATACAGCAAAAATATCTCCTTAAAACCTGAATGTTTACTGAACAGTTGTGCCTTGCATTCTTCAAATGTTTTTAAATAAAAGAATGAGTGTATGAGTAAGAAATGCATTTGACACACACGACGAACACAAACCTGTTCTACTAATACCATCCAGGAACGTGTCACAGAGCTTTAAATGTTACATGACTTTAAACAGACAGGAAATGATTAACCAGCGTTGTGCTACTCGAGTAAGTGAACACAGGAGTACAGCTAGAGGTTAAACACAAACTGGGTTAAAGATGGCAGCTCTGAATATGCTAGCTGAAGAACATTCCTTCACGCACACCAACACACACACACACACACACACACACACTCATGCAGTTTAAGAGTCACACGTGTGCCATCATGCCGTGATGCTGTTAGTACTGATGGCACATGCAAGCTATGCTTACCCTCCAGCTCAAGGTAAAACACAGACTGGGAAGTGGAATCCACACCTGACAAACCAAAGCCATTTTTACCAAAAACACTAGTGTTGCATGATACATCAGTGAGCATATCGCTATCAGCCAATATTAATATCAGCATATTCCAGTCACTGGGCCAATATTGGAAGCAGATATTATCACTAATATAATATATTCCAACTGTATATTTTACACAACACAGTGAAAACACTAGTTGTAAAATAATTTACAACTATGTCCATCAACTGCTGCATCAGCCAAATTTATATAACAGTACTATCGATCTATCTATCTATCCATCATCTACCTGTCTATCTATCTATCTATCTACCCATTCATCCATCATCTACCTTTAATTTAAATTTAATTTTTAATTTAATTTTTTTAATTTAATCATCTACCGATCTATTTACCCATCCATCCATCATCTACCTGTCTATCTACCCATCCATCCATCATCTACCTGTCTATCTACCCATCCATCCATCATCTACCTGTCTATCTACCCATCCATCCATCATCTACCTGTCTATCTACTCATCTATCCATCATCTACCTGTCTATCTACTCATCCATCCATCATCTACCTGTCTATCTACTCATCCATCCATCATCTACCTTTCTATCTACCCATCCATCCATCAGTTTTGGAAGGTACCTTCACACAATCGCTGCCTGCAAAGTCATTGCCTGATAAGGCATCAAGGCAGCTGCCTAAGCTTTCAGAAGCAGTCTTGGATTTCAAGAACAGGAAAGGTTGCCAGATCTCGATAAGTTTCCCTAGCCAGTTAGTTTGCTCATCACTTTGGCCCAAAAAAACAACAGCTCTATTCTGATTGGCTGTGCTTTGTACCCACCCACAGTGAGCGCCTCAAACAGCCGCTGGATGGTGTCCTGATCCTTCACAATGCCAGATTCCTGAACGCGCCGCACAAAGTCCTCCATGTGCAAGTGTTTCTTGGGCAGTTCGAATCTCTTCACCGTACCGCCATCCATCGGTCGCGCCCGCTCCCGTTCATTCTCTCTTTTCACCCAGCTGATCAGACGCTTCAAATCGGGGCGTCGCTCGGCCATCCTCCTCTCCTCCGCCGGCAGAGACTCGACCAGCGCGTTCAGCAGCTCGGCAGGAAAGATGTCCATGTCTGTCTTATACAAGCTCTGGAAGTCTCCGAGGGCATCCACGCGCTTCCCGGCAACAGAGTTCACCAGTCCTCGTAAGTAATAATAACGGGCCAGGAGAGCGGAGTCATCTGGGGTTGCCGTGGAGATGGCTTTGCTCAACTCTTTGATGAGATCATTGTAGTAACTCTTAACATATTGGTAGGCGAGCGGAGGAGGGAATTCTGGGAGTTTAAAGGTTTTGATTGGCCTTGAGGGACTCCAGGAACCTGTTAACATAAAATAGGAGATAAGTGACACTTACTATGACTTTGTTCAACATTTTATAGATGACACAAAATCAAATTTGACTATATTTACTTTCTTTCTTAAATACAGGGTTCCCACTCTTTCATGAACACCAGATTCAAGGACTTTTTAAAGCACTATTTATTTAATTTCAAGTACCTATCAAATTCAGAATCAGAATCAGAATGAGCTTTATTGCCAGGTATGTTTACACATACGAGGAATTTGTTTTCATGACAGAAGCTCCACAGTGTAACAGAATGACAGTGACAGAACAAAAAACACAGATAATAAAAAAAAAATAGAATAAGTAAATAAGGAATAAAAATGTACAAATTGACAATTGTATGTACAGGTATATAACAATAGACAGTTGTATGTACAGGTATATTATGTGCAAATTGAAATGTAGACTGAGTGTGTGTGTTAGATAAATAAGTGTATGAGTGAATAAATAGTGTGTGTTCCACAGTTATTGTCAAGTGTTCATGAGATGGATGGCCTGAGGGAAGAAACTGTTCCTGTGTCTGGTCGTTCTGGTGCTCAGAGCTCTGTAGCGTCGACCAGATGGCAACAGTTCAAAGAGGGAGTGTGCTGGATGTGAGGGGTCCAGAGTGATTCTGCCAGCCCTTTTGCTCACTCTGGACGAGTACAGTTCTTGGAGAGAAGGGAGGATTGTACCAATGATTCGCTCAGCAGTCCGGACTACCCTCTGAAGTCTTCTGAGGTCAGACTTGGTAGCTGAGCTGAACCAGACAGTTATAGAAGTGCAGAGGACAGATTCAATGATGGCAGTGTAGAACTGTTTCAGCAGCTCCTGTGGCAGGTTGAACTTCCTCAGCTGGCGAAGGAAGTACAACCTCTGCTGGGCCTTTCTCACAATGGAGTCAATGTGAGTGTCCCACTTCAGGTCCTGAGAGATTGTGGTGCCCAGGAACCTGAATGACTCCACTGCAGTCACAGTGCTGTCCATGATGGTGAGTGGGGGGAGTGCAGAGGGGTTTCTCCTGAAGTCCACGGTCATCTCCACAGTTTTTAGCGTGTTGAGCGCCAGGTTGTTGAGACTGCACCAGACAGCCAGCTGCTCGACCTCCTGTCTGTAAGCAGACTCGTCACCGTCCCGAATGAGGCCGATGAGTGTGGTGTCGTCTGCAAACTTCACGAGCTTGACAGAGGGGTCTTTAGAGGTGCAGTCGCTGGTGTACAGGGAGAAGAGCAGTGGAGAGAGAACACAACCCTGAGGAGCTCCAGTGCTGATCGTACGGGTGCTGGATGTGTATTTTCCCAGCCTCACTAGCTGCTGCCTGTCTGTCAGGAAGCTGTTGATCCACTGACAGACGGAGGTGGGCACGGAGAGCTGAGTTAGTTTGGGCAGGAGGAGGTTTGGGATGATGGTGTTAAAGGCCGAGCTGAAGTGTTCAAAGGAATTTAATTAAATCCATTGAAGTCAATGGAGTTCACACTGGTAATAGTCAAATACAATTTCTCAAATATTAATAAAAATATATATTCTTGCATCAAACTGGATTTTGCTGTAATTCTTGTAAAAGATTTAAATTTGAGAGAATTTCTCAATTTTTAAATTAATAAAAAGTGGTTAAACAGGGCTCTACGCGTACTTTTCTTTTAAAATTTAAAAAAAATTAGGAGCACAGTCAAAAATTTCAGGAGCACCTTCTAATCAATAATCAAACATTCTGATCAAATATTAGCCTTCCGATTTTATGAGATGATATTTGACTCCTTAAAGTGATTTACAGGGAATTTAGTTTTTTTACACCTTTGTAATAGCATTTTTCTAACTTTATTATATGTCATCTTTTATGTCAAATAAAAAAAATATTTATAAGCTTTTTAAAATTTCTAATTAAGACAACAGAATAAAATCAAGTAGAATAAGAATAAAGTTACCAATCAAATAAAATCAGTATTTAAAAAAATAATTTGTACCACAGAGGTGGCACAGAAGAACACAAAAGTGGCTTGTAAGTCTATTTTCAGATGTTTAATGAAGCTCAGAGGTGGCATGAGTGGAATTAAATTCATAAATTCATGTTGAGGTTAATATTTTAAATATAAAATTTTGAATATAGAAATATTAAACGAATTAAATAACAGAAAAGATCCTTTAAAAATGAAAGTAAAACTGCCAGTAGGTGGCGGCAAATCATTGAGTTTATCACTGAATCATTCATTCAATTGATTCGTTCGAACAACTAATTCATTCAGGAATGAAGCAAGTGACTGGCTTTATGAATGGGTAATTGATTCAGATTTGTTTAAAAACGCACGTTCATTCATAAACGAAACACCACTGTGTTTGCTTGGAAATGCGCAGCGGCTCAGCTGTGACTTTGTTTGAAACTATTTTCGTTGATGAAATAGAGCAAAATCAGGCAATAGTGTTGTAGTCAGACAATGCAAGTCACTTAATATTAATTTCTTGTTTAATGAACTGTTGTATTAAATCAATATCACATTTGCAAACTCCCTTAATAATCATTAAAAGCTGTCACTCACTCATCGTGTTCTCACAAAGTTCCATTATAATCAACGAAGCTCCCTACACTGCACAATGAATCTCTTATTTACACCCTGTTAACACTTTGTTTGCAATAATGAGAGGATTCGTGAGACTGCAGAACTCAGCACTGAACAAAACTCAGGTGTTTGAGTAGTGAGTGGATTCTGATTAACATTGTGTTCAAGGAATCAACAGATTTGTCTGTGATACATTACTCAACGCAGCAAAAACATGTTGTAAATAAGTTAGAAACCTTTGAAGCTCCCCTGAGCACAAACACAAATATGCTGATCAGGTCAGTCGCACTGGTGCTCCTAAATATTTTTTTTCAAAGTTGCACGGAGTCATTTTCATTCGCAAATGCACTGCTTCTCCATAGGTTCATGCAGGGCTGAGCAAGTTTTTTTCTTGCGCTACCCTATCTCAATTCCCAATCATTAGCGCAGTTTCGTTCCGTCTTTGACAGCGCATATAGGACAATTTTTGAAATAGCACCATTCTACTAAACAAAATTTATTTCAAATTTAATTCAAGCACTTTCAAGGATATTTGTTTTCAAGTACTTTCCAGGCCTTGAATCCATGCGTCTGATATTCAAGTACTTTCAAGAAGCGTGGGAACCCTGTAAATACAAATGAAAGTTTTATAGCTTTTAGTCTGTCTATGGGCCTGTTTACACCTGGTCACTTCATGCGTTTTCTCTGATTGGATAGAGAGGTGTAAATGCCCTCTGAAACACTTTGCAGATGGATTTAAATTCGATCTCTCAAACCACTTCAGGAGGTGATCTGGGCCGCATTCCAGACGAAACTGAACAAGTGTGAATGCATCTGGATGTTAAAGCCACTTTTGTAAAGTTTACTCCTCCCAAAATGTTAAAAAATAAACATGTGAGAGCGTGTTATAGGCTATATGATGTGTTGTAGTCAGATATGACAGCACTAATGCAACACGCATCGCTGTGGATTAGTAGCTGAGTGTCTCCTGTTGTGGTCTTTCATCTTGAAATTATCTGATGATGAATAAAATGCAGCGCATACAGGTGCATCTCAATAAATTAGAATGTCGTGGAAAAGTTAATTTCAGTAATTCAACGATGTGAACTCCATTAAATTTCCATATAGTGTGGGAATTGAAGATCAGATTTGCAGAGACACATTTATGTGGCCAAGTGTAAATGGAACCGTTTTAACAAATCAGACAGCTATCCGATCAGAGAAAACACATGAAGTGACCAGGTGTAAACAGACCCTATATGTTAGTGCACACATGGTTGACAAAATAAACCTATTACAGATATACAAATTTCTCTTCCAGGAAAATAAACCAAAAATATTGATGTCATCACCTGCTGAGGACATATGCTCTTTTTTAATGTGCAATAAACACTCTATAAAACAGTGCTTCTCAGCAAACTTTTACGGGGGCCGCAGGATTAAAACAGATTAAATTAATATTATTACAGAATTAATATAATTAATATCAATATTATTAAAAAAATATATTAATAATTTTAATAATGTATATTTAACATAAATGTTAATGATCTCAATTAAAATGCTAAAAAATTCAAAATGCTTAAAAGATTAAAGGTAACATATCATGAAAATTTCCTGGACTTTTCCAGGTTTAAAGTGCTATAATCAGGTCCCCAGTGCATCTACCAACCAAGGAAACGTGAAAAAGATTAACCCAGTAACTTTGTTTTGGGAAGCCTTTTTCTGCAAGCGTCTGAGAAAATGAGCGCGTCTGATTTCGCTCCCCTAGTGACGTTGCAAAGGGATCTCGTTATACCGTTATTGTTATTACCGCCTCTTAACCTGTACACGTTTCCACCCACGGCGCTGTCATTTTGATTTTGCAAGCGACAACGCTGTATTAGCTCTAATGCCATGGCAAAAGTTTGAGCAAAGCATGCTAACTGTTCTGTCTTAGGCTGCACAGACGAGCACAGAACACTGTTTAGAGTCCCAGCCTCAGAGGGGATAAGAGAGCAGTGGATTTATTGATTTATTTACTGTATATTACTGCTGCCACACAGATCTAATATAAACATGATTTCTTTCCCAGCTGTTTACCTTCACAGATATAACCGACTGTTTTTGTAACTCATGTGTGTTTTTAACATAAACTTGTGTGTGAATGAGAACTCAGTTTAGTACTCACATACTGTGACAGCCGCTTTCTGTGCGTGTGCTTCGAATGTGTGCGCTCAGAAAACCGTATATCAGAAGTTTAAACTAATATGGTTTAAAACGCATGATTTCAGCGCGATAAACATGTTAATCAGAACCAAAAAAGATGTTCTATTCTGGAAAAGTGGGCAGGGGCAGCAGCTCATTTGCATTTAAAGAGACAGGCACGAAAAACTGCGTGTTTCTGCTTCCACTCAAAATGGGCATTTTCAAAATAATGTAATAAATGATCTGTGGAGTATTTTGAGCTGAAACTTCACAGACACATTCTGGGGACACCAGAGACTTATATTACATATTGTAAAAAGGGGCATAATATGTCTCCTTTAAATAATTTTAAAACTATGTAACAACTTAAATGCTAAAAAAACTAAATCATGATGCAACTAAATCATTTTTTCTCTCAATAACTTGTTATATACTTTATATGTTATACTTTATATTGTTTTTATACTATGAATAATGTAATATCTTTTTCTTAAAAGAGAAGCATGTCCTGCAATATCTATGGCACCAACACTACAATAAAGGAAAAAAAAACATTTATTAAACATGAATCCCTGGAGGTTCCCTGGTTAATACTTGTTTCAGAATATATGATATGTTGTTAAAGGTTTAGACAAGTTTCCTCACAGCTGTGGAAAGGCATGGTCCTCATGGACGTCTGTCGGACCGGGACGGTGAGCAGGCGGTGGTCGGCCAGGTTTGGCATACTCACCCCCAGCCTGCTGCTCAGGCCGTTCTCTGGTCTGACGTACTTGCGGATCTCCTCCATCGCTGGTCTGCGAGGAGACTCTGTCATGGCTCTCATCCTGAGCAACAGAGGTGGAGATGTGTTTTATGTCAGCTCATTCATGTCAGATAATATCACCCAAACTAAATCTTTAAAAAAATATTGTGTTGTTTTTTAACCTAATGGTTTGTATGGCATGTGTGACCTGCTGATAATCATGTTCCTCAATGAGTAGAAATGAATGGGAACATGTTTACAGTAAATACACTTACAGCAGGTAAACGTGCAGGACCGTGAAAACTATGCTTCACTTTTGCAGAAGAAAAACACTGTGACAGAATCACTTACAAAACCTGTTCAGTTACACACAAACTAATGCCATTACCAGCTAAAAAAAAGAAAGAACCCTGGTTACTTTTCCTTGGTATCGGTTACGAGGAAGAGACGAGTCAAAATTATCTGAAAAATGGTCATACTTTAGTTTTTGTCTTTTATCTGCTTTTGCTTCTGCTTGTCTTTTGTCTGCCTTTCACATGCAAGATGTTTTCAATGTTACACACTGGTATGTAGGTTTGCTGTGGTGGTAAATATACTGTTTAACTTCCCCTTCCTTCAATAGAAAGCATCACACTGAGACAGATTCCTGCCTCATTCTCATAGCTGGACAGAAAGGGAATGAGAAGGTGATGATGTTTTTTGTTTCCTGTGATGACTAACTGTTTCCTGTATTTGTTTGACACCTATTTGTGTCCTCTGTTTCTGGTCACCAATGAGCCCTATAAACAGTGATCAGTCTATTAGGCTGGATTTACATGCACAGATCCCATGTATTCACACTAATCTGAATAGTCACATTCCCGATTACTAACTTTTCATCAAGCATCCCTAATGCACGATCAGCTGAAAAGTTGTAAACAATAGAGGCTTTTGCACCAGAGGAACCTTTTCATAGTTCCTAGAACTATTGGTGTAAGTTCACGCTTTTTGGCGTGTTCGCACCGTAGGAATTAGGAACGGTTTTAGTTCTAGGAACTCTGTTTGCAGGAACTAAATTAGCCCCTACTTTAGAGAAGGGTCTAAAACAGTTCTATAGGAACTACCAGTGATGTAAGTGTATGCTGATTGGCCAAACGCATAAGAAACATTGGCTACACGGCATTTTTAAAAAGCCATGTAAAAATATTTACTCCACAAAAATGGAAAACAGTGACAATAACGGCATTTACCCGTTGTGTGCAGCATTCTCAGCCTCAATGATAACACTGCAAGTTGTCATAGGAGATTTAGTCAGATTTTCATGCTCTTTCAATCACGTAAATTGTGCGTTTACATTTCAACTCTAATATCACGAAACGCCACGACACACAACAAAAACAGCTCCGATCACGGCGTCCTCCATTCACCGGTTGTTGATGTTTGTAAATGCCGCACATAAAGATAGCTATGTTTCCATCCACCTATTTTTATGTCCATTTTGGAATATCGCATAAAAAAAACCGCTGGATGGAAATGCCAAGATGCGCATAAATTCTAAAAATGCGTATAAAAACGTATGCGCACATTTGAGTTGGATAAACTTTTTATCCACTAAGAAAAAAATGCGCATAAACTACGATGGAAACACATTTACTGAATAAATTCCTCCATGCGTATCGAAAAAGTCATGTGACTTGTGAGACGGGATAACTTGACTAGCAGCGGACCGATCTCGTTCACAGCATCTATATGTTGTTATGGTCATTCTGAAATGCCTGAGCAAAGTCTGTCGTCAAAGTATTTCTGTATAATTGTCTTACACGACTGCGTTCCCAAACAGCTGGCATCCACCTCCGAAAGCAATGACTGCATTTATTGTGTTTCATCTGCTCGCTCTGAAGCGCAAGTAATTGATCATATATAAAAATTATTGTATTCAGTGGCTATTTAAAATTTAGTGGATATTTAGTGCCAGTTTACCAGGAAGTGACAATTTTGTTCTCTTTGACTCATTGGATGGAAACAGTGCTTTATTCGCAAATGTTTTATGCAATATTCCGAGTTTAATTAGAATCTTTGGATGGAAATATAGCTGATGTTGCTGTCGGCTGCTTCAGAGTTCCTGCTGCTAGTGCGAATACAAACAGGATAACGGCCCGAGGGAGAAATTGGTTCTTTAGGAACGACTCTTCTGGCTAGTTCCTTCAACTATGTGGTGCGAAAGCCCCGAATGTTTACATTGTACAAACTCAGCACACAAACATTAAATCAGTGCCGTATCCGCATAGATAAGAAGTCCTACCTCAGAAAGAGGATTTAGAAATTTTGAAGGATTTAGAATTGTATTATTTTTGGCCTGCTTTCTTGATTGTCATTTACTGTAAATGTACTTCATTTATATGCTTTGGCATGGTAATGCAAAACGAGTAATAAAAAATAACTGAAAAATAACACAATATTCTTTTAATGAATAAAAACTGGACACAGGAAGAAGAAAAAAAAGAGATGAGAGAGTCCATTAATGTTGACTTTTATTTACCTGCGAGTCTCTGAGCGGATGTTCAGCTGCATGTGAGTGAAAGCGTCATTCTTCCTGTTCAAGCGGTCCCGTAGAAATGAGTGGAATATATGAGTGTCTAAAACCTACAAGCAGACACACATGAGTGAGTGGGTTTGGTAGAGAAGCACATGCGGAGTGTATAACCGAACGGGAGTCTTTATTTACCTTCTTGTAGAACTCGTGATCGGTCGTCTCTCTGGACCGGAGGAACTCCTCGCTGTTGAAAACTCGATGCTCATAGTTCAGGAAGTCACAAACTTCACTACAGAGAGCAGAAAAAGACAGAATATGGATTTCAGATCAAACACAGAGCAAAAAACAACATCGCTGTGTTCACATTTCAGCAGCAGAAACTGCAGGATGCTTCTGTTAGAGAATAAAACCTTTTAAATACTTGTGTTTTCAAATAAATCCGACCAAAGCAGAAATGACAAGATGTTTAAGTTCTGAAAAGTTTTCTTCAATCTAGAGTAAATCACAGCATTCTGTGACGAGAAGAGTTTAGCCAGTCATAACTGAGGTCGTTTTCATATGACACATAGGTAGAATTTTTTTATTTTATTTTACCATTGTATAATATAATATGATAATATAATATGAATAATAATATAATATTCCAATTATGGTTATTGTCATTAGATTCTTATAAATTTATTTTTGTAAAACATTGCTTTTTGCAAGTTGTGGCTTTCTAGAAAAAAAAACATTTATATGGAAGAGTTTATTGTTTGTTGGCATCAGTGTTATTTTAGTATTATTCGTATACTGTTATGGTATTTATTAATAGTATATATATATATATTTTTTTTTTTTTTAATTTATAAATTTTAGTAATTTTGTGAGGTGCTTTGGTCATTTGATTTGTCGTTTTATTAGTTTAAATATTTCTACTTTGCTTTCATTTATTTTTATTTATACGTTAGTATTAGTAATTTTAGTATTTTAAGTTAAACATTTAAATTCTTGGGAAAAATCTGCAAAATGTAATGGCAATTTTTTTTTACAAATTGTTTACATTTTTCACATTTAAGTTTTTCTTCACTAAATATTTATATTTCATTTTATTTCAGCTTAATTTAAATTACAGGGAATATTTTTTATAGTTTTAGCTAACTAACAATAAATTTTTTTACAAAACGTAAAAAAAAAAAAACTTAAATATAGTGTAAGACAATGTAAGGAGTCAGAGAGATGGTAAAAACATGATCATGCTAAACAAATTTAAGACCCTCTTTTGTGCAAATTGACAAAGAAAATAACACAACATCCTACGATATGAGCTCTAGAAGTGTTGAGCTGCAGACCTGAAGATGTTGACGATGAGCTCCATGGTGACGTTGAGGATGACGGTGTTGACTTTGTGCTGCCACTGTCTCCTGAGAGCGCGCAGCTCGTTGATGTCAGTGCGACTCCCGACGCGACACACATCCAGATCATAGTGAAGCTGAAGCCCTTTAGCTCTGCACAAACACACACTCAACACTGCAGCAGCACATTCACATGACAACCTCAAACTGAACTAACAACACACAATCTGAGCCCTGCAGCGGTGTGGATGACTCTGTTTATTAGGAGTAATTAAGTTCATTATTTGCAATTTACTTAATTGCGCCTCTGAGCTCCTTTGAGTTTGTACACAGCAGGATCATGCGTAAAATCAAGTGAATCACCTCAAACTAAAAATAAGGGATGCCATGTTGTGATGAATTACAAAAACATCCTGCTGGTGTACAAGTGCGTCATGTTTACAATGTTAAGATACTGTCTTTTACTCCACATTGATGTTTAGTGACGGTAAAGACATTTAAATGTTAGATTTCTATTTCAAATAAATGCTGCTCTGTTGAACTTTCAATTCATCAAAAAACCCAAAATAAAATGTATCACTGTTTCCACAAAAATATGAAGCAGCACAACTGTTTTCAACATTGATAATAATCAGAAATGTTTCTTGAGCAGCAAATCAGCATATTAGAATGATTTCTGAAGGGTCATGTGACACTGAAGACTGGAGTAATGATGCTGAAAATACAGCTTTGATCACAGCAATAAATTACATTTTAACAGATATTCACATAGAAAACACTTATTTTCAATTACAATAATGTTTCACGTTATTACTGTTTTTTTCAGTCTTATTGAGCAGAAGAGACTCTGAGATTAAAAAAATCGTACTGACCCCAAAACGTTTATACAATATTGTATGCGAAGTAATCAGGAATACAGGAGCCTCTTACCGAAATATAAAACAATCTCTGGCTGTCAGTGGCACATCTGGAAGCTCAAGTTTGTTTGAACACAAAGACAACACTGTTCCTTGGTCAATGTCTACAAGAACCAGATCATCCAACTCCTGTCAAAAGACACAGGAAGCTGTCATCAACTGAGCAATAAGTCAGGCCCATTTTGCAAAAGTAAACTGCTATTAGTGCAGTATAACTAATTTGAGTGTCGCATAATCAGCATTTCCAAACTGAATGGAAAATGCAGTCAAACCAAGCATGGTATGAAGCTGGTCCGTACCTCTGCGACCTCCTCGAAGTGGGACGTGTGGCAGCCCATCAGGAAGGCGGTGGGCGCCATGATGAAGTCCAGCATCTGGCGAGACAGGACGGGTACGAACGGATGCTGCCAGCGCAGTGGGTGAATGAAGATCATGAAGCATTCGGCGACTAGCGTGAGTTTGGCCCAGTCGGTGGACAGAAACACCACCCTCTGCTCCATCAGGATACTGCTGATGATCTGAGAGCAACAAAACCATGGAGAAGAGTTCCTTTGAAATGATATTTCATATTTCAAGCATTAATTACATAAACATCTCATCAAAAATGTCCTGTAAAAATAAAATTGTGAGTTTGATCCAGGTTAAACGTGTTTATACTGGTTTGGTACCAGTCCAGACACAAAATGCTTCTCTGTACGTCCCAGTGTTATTTTCGTATTATTTATAGAGTTTTTATTCATATTTTGAATTACATTTTTATATTATATCAAATATATTTATATCTTTTACATTTTAATTTTGCCATTTTGTTATGCGATTTTTAATTTTTTTAATAATTGTAATGTTTAATAAGACTTTAGCTTCAACTTCATTTATTTCAGTTAGTTGCCAAATAAACATTTCTAATTTTCATTTCATTTAAGCTTGTCATCTAATATTTAACTTTTATTTAACATTTTAGTAATTTTTGTGCTTTTTGTCATTTTTATTAGTTTGTTTTTTAATATATCTATTTAGCTTTACTTAATTCAATTTAAGTATTTCAACTTAAACTTATTTTATTTTAATTAGTTGCCAGAGCAACTTTTCTCATTTTCATTTAGTTTAAGTGTTTCTTCTAATATTTATATTGTATTTTATTTCAGCTTTATTTCAATGAAGACAATTGTTTTTAATAGTTTTAGTTAACAATAGTAACCATGGTAAGTCTAAACGATTAATCGCATCCAAAATAAAAGTTTTTGTTTGCATAGTGTGTATGTGTACGGTGTATATTTATTATGTATATATAAATACAAACACGTGCATGCATGTATATATTTAAGAAAAATGTTTAATATGTTTATATATAATATAAAATACAAGAATATAAATATATAAATGTATATACATGCAAATATTTTCAAAATATATACTGTATGTATGTGTATTTATATATACATAATAAATATACACAGTACACATACATATATTATGTAAACAAAAACTTTATTTTGAATGCGATTAATCACGATTAATCGTTTGACAGCACTAATATATATATATATATATACACGATTGTAACAAGCACAGACTTAGTATGAAGATCTGACTGACCTGCAGGATCTGTTCGGGTCTGAAACACAGAAACGGCAGGTGAAGATCGAGGTCCATGACGGGCCGATCCACATCCAGTCTGGAGGGAAGTTCAATCTGAAAGGGTCTGAGATTGAACACCTAGAGGAACATCCACAAAGACCAACAATGAAGTAGGTGATCTGAAACAGCTTGCATAACTTGCACAGGTAAAATAAGGCAAATTTATAAGTAAACAGTGATGATGCTCACCACATGCAGCGGTCCAGGAGGCGGGATGGGCACCAGCGCCAGTTTGGCCGAAAACTCCTTCACCTGCTCTTCAAACTCACACATGCGGGACGTTTTTAGCTGGAGCAAGAAACTACGACAGAGAAATAAACTGATTAGAACAAATCCTTCATGTTACAGCTAAATAACGTTATGGAGTGGGTCGTACCTGGACAGACAGTCTCTGAGGGCGTTATAATATGGATATTTGGAGATGATACAGATGCTGTATGTGGTGAACAGACGCTGGAGTTTGTTCAGTCGATGGCCATTTTGATGAATCCCATTATCTGGATGGAACTACAGTAACACAACATGACAAATGAATAAGCGACTACATTTTACAAACTTTGGGAATTTAATAATTATTATTCATATTTTTTATAAATAATACATATTTTTTACAAACACTATCATTTAAAGGTTTGGGGTTAGTAAGATTTTTTTTCATTATTTTATTCAGCAAGGACGCATTAATTGATCAAAAGTGACAGTAAAAACATTTATAATGTTACATAAGATTTCTGCTTCAAACAAATGCTGTAGTTTTAAACTTTCCATTCATCAAAGAATCCAGAAAAATAAAATGCATCACAGTCTCCACAAAAATATGAAGTAGCACAACATTTTTCAACACTGATAATAATCAGAAATGTTTCTGAAGAATCATGTGACGCTGAAGACTGGAGTAATGATGCTGAAAAATTCAGCTTTGATCACAGGAATAAATGACATTTTAATATACTGTATATTACTATTATTTTGTTATTATTCTATTTTAAATTGTAATAGTATTTCACAATATTACTGTTTTTCTGTACTTTTGATCAAGTAAATGCAATAAAGACTCATCTTACCGACCCCCTTTGAATGGTAGTGTATATGTTGTTTTTTTATCATAATTATTACAGTAGTATAGATAATACTCTCAGCTAATGATAAGACATCTCACGTGAACAGGTTTGCAGTACTGAGCCACCACACCATGAGTCTGGTTCCCAAACACATCCGTGAACACCAGGAAATGATAGTCGTCTTCTCTGCTCTCACTGGTTATTCGCAACCCATCTGTCCGAAGACAAACCAGACACTGTCAGCGTTACTGTTAGACACAGAACACCAGACTGAGGCGTCTGCGAGGGTTACCTGGGAAGCAGAGCTGCGGCAGGGCTATCAGGTCAATGTTCTGAGGTACGCTGAGGTCGTCTGACGCGGCGACCGCTGGTTCGTTGGTTTGGCCAGAATTGCTGATGGTGGAAACCAGTCGGTCTCTCTTCTTCTTAAAGGAGCGTCTCCGCTGGACTCTGCTGAAGGCCGGAGCGTGATTGTGTTCAATGCCGTTACTGGAACTCTCCTTCGTCACAAACGGCGGCGCGTGAACCTGCAGCACCTCCGCCTCCACCAGAGGCTCTTTGTCCTTACCCTGCAGCTGCGTCCAAACAAGATCACAGTCAACATTCTGTATAGAAATATACACATATTATACACACATACTTATATTTTGGAAAGTTTTTACAAGGGAATTTTTTATTATAATTTACATAAAAAGTGTACTAAATATATATATAGACCTTTCCCGATCCCCTAATCTCTCCATGTCGCTTCCTGTCACATATATATTATTTCTATAAATACATTTATAAAATGCATAAAATGTATATATATATATATACATATATATATACACACACGTACACATACACACACACAGAGATATTTTATATTTTCTAATATTTTACATTAAAATGTATAATTATTATTAAGAATATAACATAACATATATTTGATGTATTACTACTTTATTGCTTATTATTAAAATAAGAAATAATTTTACCATTATATTTTATTAATAACATAAATATTTTAAAAACATTAACAATATTAACATTAATACATTTTATTTTTAAATGTATTTATTTACACTTTTTGCTTTTCAATGATATTATATATCATCCTGTATAATATATATATATATATATATATATATATATATATATATATATATATATATATATATATATATATATATTTATTTATTTATTTAT